GGTGGTGTATGGGGGTGGGGGTGAAAAAAAGGTGGGTGGTGTTTATGGGGTGATGTGAAAAAAGGTGGGGGGGTGGGTTGTGTGTTGTGAAAAAAGGTGGGGGTGGGGTGGGGGGGTTTGATGGGGGGTTGGTGGGGTTGTGGGTATTGAAAAAAGGGTGGTGTATGGTGTTGATGTGAAAAAAGGTGGTGGTGTTGGGGGGTTGTGATGTGAAAAAAAGGTGGGTGGAAAAAAGGTGGGTGGTTGTATGGGGTGTGGATGTTGAAAAAAGGTGGGTGGTGTATGGGGGTGTGTGTGTGAAAAAAGGTGGGTGGTGTATGGGTGGTTTTGGGGTGATGTGAAAAAAAGTGGGGGGTTGTGTATGGGTGTGTTATGTGGGTTGGGGGGTTGGTGTATGGGTGTGGTGTATGTGAAAAAAAAGGGGGGGGTGGGTTGTATGGGTGTGGTGTGAAAAAATTGTGTGTATTATATGGAGATCATATCCCCCCTTATGTATTATACATGGAGATCATATCCCCCCCTTATGTATTATACATGGAGATCATATCCCCCCTTATGTATTATACATGGAGATCATATCCCCCCCTTATGTATTATACATGGAGATCATATCCCCCCTTATGTATTATACATGGAGATCATATCCCCCCCTTATGTATTATACATGGGATCATATCCCCCCTATGTATTATACATGGAGATCATATCCCCCCTTATGTATTATACATGGAGATCATATCCCCCCTTATGTATTATACATGGAGATCATATCCCCCCCCTTATGTATTATACATGGAGATCATATCCCCCCTTTATGTATTATACATGGAGATCATATCCCCCCTTATGTATTATACATGGAGATCATATCCCCCCTTATGTATTATACATGGAGATCATATCCCCCCTTATGTATTATACATGGAGATCATATCCCCCCCTTATGTATTATACATGGAGAGATCATATCCCCCCTTATGTATTATACATGGAGATCATATCCCCCCTTATGTATTATACATGGAGATCATATCCCCCCCCCTTATGTATTATACATGGAGATCATATCCCCCCTTATGTATTATACATGGAGATCATATCCCCCCTTATGTATTATACATGGAGATCATATCCCCCCTTTATGTATTATACATGGAGATCATATCCCCCCTTATGTATTATACATGGAGATCATATCCCCCCCTTATGTATTATACATGGAGATCATATCCCCCCCTTATGTATTATACATGGAGATCATATCCCCCCTTATGTATTATACATGGAGATCATATCCCCCCTTATGTATTATACATGGAGATCATATCCCCCCTTATGTATTATACATGGAGATCATATCCCCCCTTATGTATTATACATGGAGATCATATCCCCCCCTTATGTATTATACATGGTGAGGATCATATCCCCCCTTATGTGTTTATACATGGAGATCATATCCCCCCTTATGTATTATACATGGAGATCATATCCCCCCTTATGTATTATACATGGTATCATATCCCCCCTTATGTATTATACACATGGAGATCATATCCCCCCCTTATGTATTATACACGGGATCATATCCCCCCTTATGTATTATTATACATGATTCATATCCCCCCTTATATTATACATGGAGATCATATCCCCCCTTATGTATTTATATACATGGAGATCATATCCCCCCTTATCTTATGTATTATACATGGAGATCATATCCCCCCCCTCATAACCCCCCTTAGATTATAATGTTCTATTATACATGGAGATCATATCCCCCTTAATCTCCTCATTCTCAAGAGAGAATAGTATTATTCCTCTAATCTTTTCCTCATAGCTGATCTCCCCATGCCTCGTATCAGTTTGGTTTCCCTTGTCTCTGTACTTCTAATTATCCTTTTCCCCAATGTTCTTTATGTGAATTGGAGCCCAAAAACTGAACTGTATATCCAGATGAGGTATTACTAATGATTTGTATCGGGGGGGGGGGGGGGATGATATCTCTCTGGAGTCTATACCTCTCCTAATACAAAGAGAGAGGATTTTGCTCGCTTTAAAATCCGCAGCTTGGCATTGCTGCCATTATAAAGTGGAGTTCCACCTAAAAAATATAAAAAAAAGCAGCTACAAAAATCCCCCTGTAGTTACTGACTTTTAAAATATAGCCACTTACCTGTCCCTCAAATCCAGTGGTGTCCTCACCATGGCTGGTTTCACCGGCCGTCTTCTCTCCCTGGCATGGGCATCTTCAGTGTGGGCATCCGGCTGTGACAGCTTGCGGCTTCTTAGCCGGGTGCCCACTGCGCATGCTTGAGAAGCGCTGCGCTTTGTGAATGGTCTCGTAGTCTTGTGGAGCTGTCACGTGTCCCAGAAGACTACGGCGAGGGAGGGGGGGAGGACAACTTTTGCTTCCAATCGTCTAGGCGATTGCAGTGGAAGTGGGAGCGGGTACCTGTCAAATTCCCGCTCCCCCAAAGGTGCCAATCCTTAATGGGGAGTGGGGGAACAAAGGCTTAAAGCTGAACTTCCCCTTTTGGGTGGAGCTCCGTTTTAAGCTTGAGATCTACCAGAACTCCCAGATCCTTCTCCACCATTGACCCCCCCAGTTGTACCCCCCCTCCCCTATTGGCCTAGTATGTATGATGCATGCTTATTCTTAGCCCCCAAGTGCAGAAAAATTACATTTATCAACATAAACCTCATTTCCCCCATAGTTGCCCAATTACGCAGAGCATTGAGGTCGGCTTGTAAATTGGAGACATCCTGTAAGGACGTTATTCCCCGGCACAGCTTGGTGTCATCTGCAAAGACTGAAATGGGATTTATAATCTCAGACCCTATATTGTTTTAAATATATTAAAAAGTAAGGGTCCCAACACTGAACCTTGGGGTACCCCCACTGACAACACTGAACCTTGGGGTACAACACTGAACCTTGAAGTACACCACTGACAACACTGAACCTTGGGGTACAACACTGAACCTTGAAGTACACCACTGACAACACTGAACCTTGAAGTACACCACTGACAACACTGAACCTTGGGGTACACCACTGACAACACTGACAACACTGAACCTTGAAGTACACCACTGACAACACTGAACTTGGGGTACCCCACTGACAACACTGAACCTTGGGGGTACAACAGTACAACACCACTGAAACCTTGAAGTACACCACTGACAACACTGAACCTTGAAGTATACACTGACAACAACACTGAACCTTGGGGTACACCACTGACAACACTGAACCTTGGGGTACACCACTTGACAACACTGAACCTTGGGGTACACCACTGACAACACTGAACCTTGGGGTATAGTACCACTGACAACACTGAACCTTGAAGTATACCACTGACAACACTGAACCTTGGGGTACAACACTGAATCTTGAAGTACCCACTGACAACACTGAACCTTGGGGTAAACATTGAACCACTGACAACACTGAACCTTGGGGTACACACACTGAACCTTGAAGTACACCACTGACAACACTGAACCTTGGGGTTACCCCACTGACAACACTGAAACCATGAAGGTACACCAAGTACTGACAACACTGAACCTTGGGGTACAACACTGAACCTGAACCTGAAGTACACCACTGACAACACTGAACCTTGGGGTACCCACCACTGACAACACTGAACCTTGGGGTACACCACTGACAACACTGACAACACTGAACCTTGAAGTATACCACTGATAACACTGAACCTTGGGGTACCCCACTGACACCCCCCCTAGACCATTCAGAGTATGAATCATTAACCACTACTCTCTGAATACCATCTTTTAGCCAGTTTTTCTAACCATTTACATACAGGGGAAAGCCAGGAGAACACAGTGATTATTACTAATGGCTATAGTCTCTGGCAATAATCGCATGAAAAAAATCCAACAGGCTGGTTGTACCCAAGTAATACGACAATCGATTTGGGTACAATCAGCCTGTCCATAGATGGTTCAAATCTGGGCCGGTCCCTGCTGAACCCACCAAGATTCAAATCATCTATGGCCAGCTTTACATTCATCTGGTGGATGGATTTGAATTAAAATCTCCAGGATAAGATCCCAGTTCAAGCAATTGTGGGTGGAGATGTGGAGTTGTCCTCTATCTTCATATTACCTCTTTTACTTTCTTAAAGGTTAGTTCCAAGGTGAGCAGATTTGCTATCAGAGCACACTGGGGTGGTGGAGTTGATTCTCACTGTGTGAATAAGTCTGAAGAGCACATTTGGATGGTGTACGAATTTTTTTTTTTGAAGAATTTTGAATTGACTATTTTACACAATACAGTATATGGTTTCTGCACTTTTTTAAAAATGTAATTTAACATTTTTTTATGTAATTGATTTTAAGCACAAGTTAATCAATTATTTTGCATTGATTGTTTTCATTATTATTTTTGAGTGTTGCACTTTATTTATTATTTTCATATCTATGTTAGCTGCCATTGTTTGGCTAAGACAGCTGAGTTTTGAAGGACAAGGTTTATATATATATGAATTTATTTGGATTCTAAAGGCAATCAAAACATTATCTTACAGGGTGCACAGGTGTGTCCTGAAGGCTGGTTGCGGCACAGAGAGAGCTGCTATTACTTCTCATCTGGCAAAGACTACAGAACATGGAATGAGAGCCGGGAAATGTGTGAAGGGATGGGAGCCCATCTACTGGTCATAGAGGACGGGGATCAGCAGGTATGGTATAACATGGTACATGGCAATAGATGTGATATGTATTGTTTCATTGTATTTACTATTTATTTCATATGTAGATCAAAGGAGTGCCCTTTGATCTGCATATGACATCAATTTACATAGTTAAAGTGGTTGTAAACCTCACTCATGAAATATGAACAAAGCATATCCCTCTATAGTGTGTGCTTGTCTCAATCCAAAGCACTGTCATTTCTGTCTGCTGTCTCATTCCTCTGCTATAAGCCTGAGTAACTTTGGACAAGTTTTTCCTGACACCAAGAGAAAAATGGTGACAGGAGGGCACAGTCTGTGACTGACAGCCTCAGTTCTGTTCCTGTGAGATGTGTGAAGGGACAGCCCTCAAAATTGCCACTCACCTGCTCGCATTTGGCAAGTGGAAATAACATGGGGGTGAGCAGGGCCAGGACCAGGGAGGGTGGTGGGGGCAATTACGGCAATTATCTCCCGTTATGGCTTTCAATGAAGCGGCTGGAAGTCGCTTCTCCTTCTCCTCCCACGGCTTTCAGCTGCTTCACTGAAGGCATATAGGGAGACCGGTGCTTGTAACTGTCCGCACTGCTGCACTGATCATCCCTGACCATCTGTCAGATTTCAGTTTCTTTCTGGGCCCCTGTGTGCTCCTCAGTGCCCAGCCCCTTCCCTGCATCCCCTGCACCAATAGGAGACGAGAGAGACTGGATCTGCTCTGCTTCCCCCTCAGTTCTCCCCACACTCCAGTCCATGCAGCTTCTGAGAAGAAGATGTGTTGGCCAAAAATGATATACAGAGCCAGCCAGTAGCTCTGTGTTGCTTCTGACAGAGCATGTGAACCAGGAACCATCCATGTGAGTCCGATCTTCCCTGCCCTTCCCTTACTCTGTTTAAAACATTTAACAGTGCCATTTCATGAGATAATTTACGATGGTATGTTTAGGGGCGGGACAGGGTAGGGGTTGGGTGGGGCAACTGGTGGCGAGTAACTCTGAAAATCCTGGCTAGTAGCTCAGGACTTGAAATTTTGAGCCCTGTGAAAAGGGGGGGGGGGGTTTCCTTTCCTCCAATCAGCTCTCAGAGTTCTCCTCACTGATGTAATGTCAGATCCCCGCCCTCTTCTTTTCAGAGCTGAGAGATCCTGTATATTATGTACTTTGAATGAATGTAGGGGATGGATTTTTTTTTTAAACCACCTTCCATTTCGGCCGTTGTATATAAACGGCGGAAGGTGGCACTGCAGGGTCGGGTGCCATTTATAAACGGCCTCCCTGCACTCTGCTTATGCGCGCTTCCTGGGAGCGCGCAGCACCGCGATCCGAACACCGATCGTCGGACGGGACCTCTGTGCGAGGTCCTGATCATGTGATCACTGACTGGCCAATCAGTGATCACATGTAGAGTAGTAAGCAAGGTGTCACTTGTGACATCATTGCTTACTATGTGTGAATCTGTGAATGATCACAGAGGTCACATGTACAGAGCTATTCACAACAGCCTTGTACCATGTGACAAGCTGTGACCAATCACAGCTCACTCAGTAGTTCTCAATGGCTGCAAGAATGCAGCCAGAGAGGAGAAATGATTGCTTTTACAGCCTTTATGGGTGTAAAAGCAATCAGTGTTAAAAAAAAAAAAAAAAAAAAAAAAAAATCTTCATCACCCCCCACAAGTAGTAAAGTGTCACTGCTAGGGTGACAGTATGTAAAAAAAAAAAAAAATATAATATAAAAAAAAAATTATAATTTTTGGTTATAAACTAATTTGGGTTATTTTTTTTAACTAAAAGTATAACGGAATAAATTTTGGCCAAGATTTATGATGAAATACTATTTATTTGCAAAATTTTATAAGAAAAACCCTTTTTTCAAAATTTTTGGACTTTTTAATTTACATAGCAAAAAAAAAAAAAAAAAAAAAATCCCAGTGGTGAATAAATACCACCAAAATAAATGGGTACCCTGATGAAGTCACGACGCACGTGACGCAACGCGTCGGAACGCTTTTCCCAGCCCAGCCCTCAGACACATCATTTCCGGTCACGTGGGGACGGATGTCCGAGCACAGCGGCCATATTGGTTTCCCTATTATACATGTGAATGCACCCAGGGAATGAGGAGGACTGCATTTTATTAAGAAAACGCATGTGAGTGGAAACAGTTTGCTATATGGAGTGTCTTAAATAAATGGTATTACACTATGGGAAGCTCTGTTTGTGTCCTATATGACGTTTGAGAGGAGGTGGAGTGGAGGTCCTGTGATTCCTTACTGAGCTGCTTGGAAGCAAAGGATTACCTGGAGGAGAGTTATAGCCTTGTGGCCCTTTGCGGGTCGAGTTGGGGAGGTGAGCAGGCATTGCTGCCATTGGAGGATTTCTTTTCTTCTTTTTTTGAGCACTAGAAGTGAAGAACACTGAGTGTGTCGTTTTCACCTTACTGCATGGACTGTGTTTGTTCATTTATGGACACATTTTCATATTTAAACATCACAAGATTTAGTGGATTTTTTATCTAATAGTTTAATGTATGGTTTTTTCACAATTAATCACGTATATTTGATTGAGATTCACATTTTATGAATTTCTATTTATATTCTGTTAGGTTGGCACATATATTATTGGAATTATCACTTATATATATATATATTAATTAACACAGATTTTTATTTATTTTTGTATCACTGTTTATTCGCATTATTATTGATTTTCTATTTTTTATCACTGTTTGATCTGAAGAAACAATTAAGGGCAAGGAAAGGTTTTTTTTTTTTTTTTTATCACGGATTTATTTTATTATGAGGTATGGTTTTCGTCTAATATTATATGCACTGTGTGTGTATATATAGGGATTCATTTTAGCGCTTCAATATTTTTTGTGTTTGATACTTTATTACTTATTGGTTAAGGCAGAGTGATAGCAGCTGTTAGGATAGGGACTTATCCATACTAAGCGCAGGACGATATTTCCCATTCACCAAAATAAAAGCTTTATCTGTCTCAAAAAAACGCTAAAAAATTCATTTGGGTACAGTGTTGCATGACCGCACAATTGTCATTCAAAGTGTAATAGCACTGAAAGCTGAAAAATTGGCCTGGACAGGAAGGGAAGGGGGGGAAAGTGTACCGGACAGGAAGTGGTTAATATTTATTTTTTTTTTTCCTTATTATTTGTTTGGTGGATTATTTTCTTTTGAGTGTCACAGAAAAAAAATGTCAAAGAAAATGACCAAAATGTAAAAGTGTTTTTTTTTTGCATTTTTCATTCGCAAATAATCTTGCCATGTTTTGTGCCAAATAATTCTAGTGTCAATTTATAGAGAACAATTTCTGGGTGAAAAAGTGTATTCTTTTTAATTACAGTAAAGCTTCTATTTTAAACTAACACTGGTCAAAATAGAATAGAATGTTTTTTATCTTGTATGTATTACATTTTTGAAAATTTTTGCAAAACAATTATGACAAAAGAAAGCATAATTTGTAAGAGGGGCTTCGTCCCTACCCCCGCTCCTGTCCTGCTAGAACACTATCCCTCCTGCTAATTTTGAACCCTCTGCCATGTGTCCCACTCCTTGCCATAGGCCTCCACACAACATTCCTGGTCATAGACTTTCATATACCCAAAGAAGGAATGTCCACAGGTAGTTTGCCACCCTTTACTGGTGGTATTCAGGAAATGGTATAATAGTCACATCACAAAGACATACTGGTACATTCTGGAGTCACTTGACATTACACATTACATCACATTTAGTGGACGGTCCACCGTAGTCAAAAGTGAAAGCATGTGAAGCACCTCAGAAACCATCTCCCTTTATACAGTTGTGTTCAAAATAATAGCAGTCAGACATCACTAACCGCGATCAATCACTGTTTTTGGTAGAAATTATATTTCTACATGGCAAATAATTTCCTAGCAGTTGTAGTAGAGTAATAGAAATCCAACAGACCCAACAGTCATGACATGCATGCTGCTGATTCTGTGTCATTGAATCACTCATTGAAAGGGACGTGTTCAAAATAATAGCAGTGTGGAGGTCTATTCGTGAGGTCAGTCATTCTTTGAAAAACAGGTGACAATTATTGCCCTTATTTAAGGAAGGAAGGCAGCAAATGTTGGACATGCTGGTTACAGTGCATTTCTCTCTCTGAAATTCTGAGGAAAATGGGTCGTTCCAGACATTGTTCAGAAGAACAGCGTACCTTGATTAAAAATTGATTGGAGAGGGGAAAAATAAAACATATAAAGAAGTGCAGAAATTGATAGGCTGCTCAGCTAAAATGATCGCAAATGTTTTAAAATGGCAACCAAAACCTGAAAGACGTGAAAGAAAGCGAAAAACTACCATTCGAATGGATAGAAGAATAGCCAAAATGGCACGGACTCTATATATATTATACACAAACACACTTACTTTCTGCTATGAAACATATCCAATAAAAATATTTCAAAAATCAAAACCCTTCATAAATTTAGGCCAATATGTATTCTGCTACACAAAAAAAATCCCAATTAGCATATAATGATTGGTTTGCATAAAAGTTAAAGCGTCTACAAACTATGAAATATATATAACTGGATTTTTAAATATATATACTAGTAATGGAGGTGATCAGCAACTTATAGCGAGACTGCGATATTGCAGCAGGCAGTCTGACACTTTGTGGGAACTAGTGACACTAATACAGTGATCAGTGCTAAAATGATACACTGTCACTGTGTTAATGACACTGGCTGGGAAGGAGTTAAACATCTAGGGCGATCAAAGGGTTAACTGTGTGCCTAGCTATGTGTTTTGTGTTGTGTGTGTGCTGCTTCTACTAGGCAATCTGCTAGATTTTATTCATTGCTTTGCAAGGAAAGAAAATCTAGCAGATCGACGCTGCCTTGTTTACATATGTAGACCTGCGTCCTTTCAGTCTCCTTAGTGATCCAATGGGTGCCAGTTGCTCATCCATTGGCCGGCACCTGTTGATCAGCTTCTGCTGTCCCAATCACAGCAGAAACCAGTGC